GCCACGGCTTCCATTTTGGCATGTCCATGCTTCATAGATGTTTACTATATGATGAAAATTGTGGTCATTTTGATTGCTAGCTAATAATCTTGTGTGATAAATATGTTTAATTATTTTTGTCTGATTTGGATCTATATATCTTATTTTGGAGTTACTTATAGGCCTAGGTCCATTATCATTTTAGATTTTTGTTTTTATAAACAAACTACTTTCAAATTCTCTACTTCTCTATACATGTTTATATTCTTAAGAGAGGTTCATAAGATTTTTTTTGTATGAGCTTATGATTGGTCTTCGTGAATGAAGCCTGATAATTCCTCCTTCAAGTTGTGTCCTACACTATGAAGCATAGACACGGACACGCATACGGACACGGACACGGGACACGGCAATTTCTAAAAAATAGGGACAAGGACACGGCGGGGGACACGACAATTTTTTTAATTTTTTTATAAATATTTTTATTTTAATGCACATTAATTATTTATTTATGTTATTTATTATATTTTTTAAATAATGTATTTTAATTAATTTTTTTATTTTATTTTTCCTATGTGTTTATTTATTTTTATTTTTATTAATATGTATAAATATATATTATCTTATAATATGTATTATATATTATCTATATATCATATAATAACTATTAATATGTATAGTATATTATCTTTTGAATGGTCAGGGAAGGGTTATATTATATGTTATATAATAACTATTAATATATATAGTATATTATATTATCTTTTGAGTCAACGAAACATTTCAGTTCGAGATCGAGAGAGAGAGAGAGAAAGGGGGCAGACGAAAGGGGGAAAAAAGAGAGGCAGACGAAAGGATGAAAGAAGACGAGAGAGAGAGACGAGGCGATGCAATCCAGACAAGGGAGAAGAGAGAGAGACGAGAGGCGAGCCAGAGAAAAGAGGGAATAGAGACGTACCAGGTCAAGAAGTGATGGAAGATCAACTGGAGATAGAGATCAATGGAGATCGAGATGGAGATCGATCGATCGAGATGGAGTTGAACAGGTTCGCACTTCTCTTCTCTCTTTTTCTTCTTCTGATTTTTGATTTAGCTCTCTTCTTCTCCTCTTTCTTCGAACTAGGGTTTTCTGTTTTGTTCTCCTTGCCATGTCCTTTTGTTTTGTGCCGCCGTGTCCCCAACGTGTCCCATGCCAAAAAATAAAATAATTAAAGGGACAGGCCAAATGGCATGTCCCGGGCGTGTCCCCGTGTCAGACACCGCCACGGCTTCCATTTTGCCGTGTCCATGCTTCATAGCTTGGGATTTTTATTTTTCCTTGGTATTGGTGGCCGTTCCATTTTCAGTTGTGTGGATGCTCTAAATATGGCAGGGAATTCGTGTCTTTCGAGATTGCCTTAATGCTTGTCTGTAGGATATGGCCTTGTGATTTTTATTTTTCCTTGGTATTGGTGGCTGTTCCATTTTCAGTTATGTGGATGCTCTAATTATAAAGGTTAGAAGGCATCACTTATTTAGTTGTTTCTCGAGATATCACTTCCTTAAACTCATGTTGGTCGTTTATCTTCATTCCACTTGTGGAACTTGACACTATATAATGCCTCTTCACTTGTATTGCTTATGTTGTTCGTTTTTGTGTCTTCTATCTTCACAAAAAATAGCTTCTCATTCTTCAGGCCTATTTGCAACAAGAATGCTGATGCAACTTATGTTTGATATATGACTGAAGAAAATGCTTTGTAATTCGGCTGACTGCCATGAAATCATTATTTTTACTGTACAAATTAACCAGCTGTTCACTTGTTTACAGGAAATTGCGCTCGCAAAACAAGTTTGTCTTCTTCATGCAAGGGTATCAACGTCTTTCGCATTGCTCTAGGGAACCTTTCCTATGCTAATGAAATTTCCCTTGCACAAGCCTTTTTTTTAGCCTTTGCTTGCCTGATGTTTTGTTTCTGTATTCTAGTGTTATACAATGCGAAACACTGAAGTTTCAGCTTTTAGGATTGCCAACGCTATAGAGCTTTCTCATTTCTAGCTAATTCTAATTGTTTGTATTCTGGGTTTTTTGTTTGTATTCTAGTTTATTTGATGCAAAACACGTCTGTTTCACTGTAAGATTACCTAAGCTATGGGGGTTTGAGTTAGGACATTCTGAGTGAAAGCATGTTAAACTTGACTCACTCACTCTCTCTCTCTCTCTCTCTCTCTCTCTCTCTCTCATGTTTGCATTATTCTAAAAGGCTCCATTTTCGTTGCAGATAACAGTGCTTTGGTGAGCACATATTATTTCACTCAGAGGTTGCAATGAATAAGCTTTAACCGATGGAATAATCAAAGAGCAAACTTGAAAGGCTAGGAGGGTGTTGCTGTTGCTAACATTTCAATTATCTTAGTTTTTTAGAATTAAAAAAAATATATATATATATATAGCTCAAAAATATTGAAGAATGGAATATATACATCCATATCTTCCTTGTAACAGAATTTCCCAGGTATTTATTTGAAGAATGAATTATACACATCCATATCTTCCTTGTAACAGAATTCCCTGATATGAGTGCAAAGTCGTCAAATTTTCAGCTTACCAAGAAGGGCGAAAATGATTGCTTATAAATGACCAAAAATTATCTAATCTGTCTTGATTTTGACTTGTGCTGATTTTTTCCTTCGCGATAAAAAAAAAAAAAAAAAAAAATTGCAAGCGTGCGAAGAAAATTGCAGTGTCACGGGTGTACATGATATTCCTAATTATATTAAATTAAATATTAAATGTGAACCTTTTTATAACAAAATTGATGCTTTGAGGGAGAAAAGGTTCCAAAATCACATGAAAGTGAACACTGAGAAAGAGTGGGTGCAAGGAGGAATTTGATAGGGTATAAATAGACAATGCACTGACCCTATAAGTTTTGCATGTCAAAGTGCTCATATGAAAGACAATCCCCAGTCCCTTGTCTCACGAGGAATTATATTAATTGCCAAGTAAACATATAACGTGGCTTTGTATATTTAAATAACAACAATATTATAAATTTATACTTATGAACTCAAATTTTACTCAAAAAAGAAAGCTAATAGTTGAAATTCATTTTACTCATGTATTCACATTTCATCAATTCAATGTCCACCACATATATATTTGTGATAAATTATGAGTTGATAAGAAAGGTTCATAGCATTTTTGTTTAAATAATCATCGAATTCTAAACATGAACCAACATGTCTAGATAGGTAGATGGAAGAAAAAATGTCACTAACTTTCGCGGATTAAAATTTTAAAAAAACAATGGAAGGAGTGATGTCAGAGGGTGTGAACAGCACCAAACTCACCATAAGATCTGCATGTCAAGCGCATGACATGTAAAACAAAACCCTAATCCACTTTTTGAATGAAACTTTTCATTAATTACCAAATATAAAATATCAAAAGAAAACTCATGAAGAGATGAACCGACAAATCACCTTGATGAAATTTTGGCAATCTAAATCCTATATCTCTAACTTTTAAGATATAAAATTAAATAATTAAAAAAAGAAAAAGAGTTGAGAATAGGAAATTAAACCAGATAAGGCAACCTAGGGTTTTCTCTTTTGACTATTTGAAAAATATCACACAAACCCAAACCAAATCTCAGTTCTTAGATATCTGTCATAGAATTTTATGAGAAATCTAACACAATTGTTTGATGATTGGTTTTGCAAAAAGGAAAGCAAAATTTAACAAAAACCAAACCACACTCAATGGTTCTGACAAAACCTCAAATTAGGAAAAGGGTGAAGAAAAAAGACATTTTTTTTTATCAGCAAAGAAATTCCTTTATTGATGAATAAAACATACATTACATATGAGAAAACATCAACAAGGAAGAGAGAGAAGAAAGGATAAGAAAAGAAACTAAGCATAGTGTTGGTGAGAAACCAACACTAGCTCACAAGACCACAAACATTTGAAGCCAAAACCCCAAAACTAGCTAACAACACTTATACCCACTGAGAAACTCCAGCTAAGCTTACTTGATGCCATCCATCAACCTTTTGAGACCAAACCCTCCTATTTATTTGGATCTCTCTTTGTCCTTTAGCTCTACCTCAATAATCTTGTTTAGTACATCATCTTCTTCTCCATTGAAATTGATGCCAAGAGATTTACCTAATTGTAAAATGGCTTTAGCTTCATTGAGGAGGAGATTGTTCGGACTAGTAATACCCTCCTACAGATCTGAACGTTCAATCGCAGCTGCTGCTGGTCTGAAGATGATAGACTTAGAAGTGTGCTTGCTGACTGCTGCAGCTTTCTGCCCATTAAATCTAGCAAAGCTGGTGAACCCCTCTAGTTAAACCTTCCTCTTTCTTTTCCTCTTCTCATTCCGCAGGAGTTTTGGGACAGAAGTAGGTTGCCTAACTAAGCCTGACTGATTAAGGCTCAAAAGACCCTTCCTATTTAGATTCTTACTAATCGCTTGTGACAAGTCCACTTCAAGATTGATACCAAAACCACTTCCAACGCGAGATCCACTGAAGCTTTTAATGAAACCAGGAGTAGATACTTGCTCAACAATAAAATTTGGACTGTGCACTGACTCCTCCAATATGGTCTCCTCAATAACTATGTTTACCTCCTCGCCCAAATGACAATCATTAGACCCTGACCTCTGATCTACCTCCTTGGTGCATACTTCCTCTTCTCTGATGAACCCTTCATCCCACTTTGACTCCTCAATAACTGAGTTTACCTGCATCACATCGTCAGACTCCTTCTCCCTAAAAAACCCTTCTAGACTGTGCATACTTCCTCTTCTCTGATGAACCCTTCATCCCACTTTGACTCCTCAATAACTGAGTTTACCTGCATCACGTCTACAGACTCCTTCTCCCTAAAAAACTCTTCTAGACTTGTTCTTTCCACAACACTACCACAGATTTTGTTAGAGCTGCACTCTTCCAACCCATTGCCCTTGAAGCTACTAAATTCTGCTAAAAGATCTTCACACACAAGAATGGGGTGTAATATACCCTTGCAATCCAAAGATATAGTTTTGTTAATGAACTCCATACAAGATGTAGCCACTCTGATTCTGGTGTGGGAGAAGGTCTTAGGTTGACAAAAAATCATCATCCAAGCTACGGACAATACCCCACATGCTTCCAATGTTGTTGAGTGTGCCGCTATTCCAGAGGTTTAAAGGAATGCCATAACACCTCAACCACACACATCGTTCTTGTTCAAGAAAAAATCCTGGCTTCCATTCCATCACAAACTGACTCCATTCCTTAAACCATTCTTTGATATTGCAAAGATTTGATTTCAGTTCCTCTTGAGATTTAAATGTAAGAACTAGATCTCGACCACTCCCTTTCCTGACCATTACATGATCCAAGCCTTTCTTTTTCAAGATATTACCAATGTTAACAGTAGAGAATTCAGAAATAAATCTGACTATTACACTACCATGGAACCATTCAAGATCCTCTTCATTGGCTTTAATGGACAAGCTTTCTTTCCTAGCCACAGTGGGTGTGACCCCTTTCAATACTTCAACGAATGATCTTTGGCCTGAAAATGGAACTTGAGCCCTGTAACTGATAGGATTAGGAGGTCTGCTAATGGAATGGGGTTCTTTCCTGCTCTTCTCAAATCTGATGCATCTGTCCTTGGTAGCTTTTTTAACTTCTAGCACCCTTTCTTCTACCAGCAGGCCATGTCTGCTGCAACAGGGCAATTGAATCTCACAAATCCAAATCTAGACTTAGACACAGTCCTTCTTTTGAACGGAATGAAGACATCCTTTACAATGCCAAACTGTGAGGAAATCTTGAACAGCGTTTTGGCATCCAAAGCTGAAGGTAAGTTATCCACAAAAACGGTAAATAGACCAAACTTAACATCTTTACCTTGGTCTCCATCTCCTTCTCTCCACCTCTCTTTCGGAATCCAACCTCCATTTCCTATTTTTGCCATTACATTTTCACTGAGGCATATTATCAAACAGGTGGAGTGCAAAACTAATTGCTGAGCAGAACAGGACCAGTTCCTACTCTACGATTCCCTTAAATCACAAAACCCAGATGAAATAAGAGAGATCTGAAAATAAAGTAATGGCCTACCCCGAAAGAAGATGGAACAAAGAGTTGCTACAATCGAAGATAGAAAGAGGATGGAACCCAAATGGAACACAGAACAGGACTAGCGCCTTTAATCCTTTCAACTGTGCACTTGATAGGCTATATACTGTTGCCACTAATCCAAGAGAGAGCTTCGCTGTTGAAACTAATCTTTACCGGAGAGCCGAAGAGAGAGTGATCAATAGACTCTCTAGTTAAACCTTCTTCTTTCTTTTCCTCTTCTCATTCCGCAGGAGTTTTGGGACAGAAGTAGGTTGCCTAACTAAGCCTGACTGATTAAGGCTCAAAAGACCCTTCCTATTTAGATTCTTACTAATCGCTTGTGACAAGTCCACTTCAAGATTGATACCAAAACCACTTCCAACGCGAGATCCACTGAAGCTTTTAATGAAACCAAGAGTAGATACTTGCTCAACAATAAAATTTGGACTGTGCACTGACTCCTCCAATATGGTCTCCTCAATAACTATGTTTACCTCCTCGCCCAAATGACAATCATTAGACCCTGACCTCTGATCTACCTCCTTGGTGCATACTTCCTCTTCTTTGATGAACCCTTCATTCCACTTTGACTCCTCAATAACTGAGTTTACCTGCATCACATCGTCAGACTCCTTCTCCCTAAAAAACTCTTCTAGACTTGTTCTTTCCACAACACTACCACAGATTTTGTTAGAGCTGCACTCTTCCAACCCATTGCCCTTGAAGCTACTAAATTCTGCTGAAAGATCTTCACACACAAGAATGGGGTGTAATATACCCTTGCAATCCAAAGATATAGTTTTGTTAATGAACTCCATACAAGATGTAGCCACTCTGATTCTGGTGTGGGAGAAGGACTTAGGTTGACAAAAATCATCATCCAAGCTACGAACAATACCCCACATGCTTCCAATGTTGTTGAGTGTGCCGCTATTCCAGAGGTTTAAAGGAATGCCATAACACCTCAACCACACACATCGTTCTTGTTCAAGAAAAAATCCCAGCTTCCATTCCATCACAAACTGACTCCATTCCTTAAACCATTCTTTGATATTGCAAAGATTTGATTTCAGTTCCTCTTGAGATTTAAATGTAAGAACTAGATCTCGACCACCCCCTTTCCTGACCATTACATGATCCAAGCCTTTCTTTTTCAAGATATTACCAATGTTAACAGTAGAGAATTCAGAAATAAATCTGACTATTACACTACCATGGAACCATTCAAGATCCTCTTCATTGGCTTTAATGGACAAGCTTTCTTTCCTAGCCACAGTGGGTGTGACCCCTTTCAATACTTCAACGAATGATCTTTGGCCTGAAAATGGAACTTGAGCGCTGTAACTGATAGGATTAGGAGGTCTGCTAATGGAATGGGGTTCTTTCCTGCTCTTCTCAAATCTGATGCATCTGTCCTTGGTAGTTTTTTTAACTTCTAGCACCCTTTCTTCTACCAGCAGGCCATGTCAGCTGCAACAGGGCA